TAGTCAATTGCAAAAGGCAGCTTTACTTGGAGCAGCTTATATCCTGCAATGATACCTTTAACACCATCAAACCATCACACAACATCTGCCTATCCCAGGTCCTTGGGAAGGACTTGATAGGTGGATAAAAATCCCAAATCCAGTCTAAACATCTGGCTGACTGTGCAACCAACCATCATCATCATCATCATCATCATCCAACTGCAAAGCATAGTGCAATAGAAAACCTAAAAGCATATGCGAGAAGGCTCTGCACGTTTTCAAAGAAGTGCTGCTGAAGTGAAGTGGCTGTACATGTACACACATGCAAAGACAACTGGGAGCAGTTTCTGTGTACTAATTCAAAAACAGATGCCTAAATGCACTCACACTGTCCTTCAAAGGACAGCACAGCCCTAATATATGAACCCATCCTTTTGTTTTTGTCATGTATTTAATGTATTTAATATATAATCTTTTCTTCATTAGGTACATATTGATATTTCACAATACTAATTTTGTGAACCCTTTTTAATTAAATAAAACCTTTAAATGGGAACCAAAACAGAAAATGAGATAAAAAAAGCCAAAAACAAAAGCCAAAAACAAAAAAACCAGACAAACATAAAAAACAAATAGCATAACCAAATAATCAAAAACAGCAGCTGGAATAGAACTATTCACAGATAAAACCACAAATTAGAAAGGAAAAAAGTGCAAGATCAGGGACAGAAGACATAATAAAAACCAAAAACAGTCTACTTCAACTTGTAAAAGGCAAGAAAGGGAGAGAAAGAGCTTTACTAAAAAAATATTTGCCCCAATTACCTAACAGAAAAATGTCCAGCTGTCCCATTATCTGTTGTAGGCACCATATTTAATAACAATATATTATGATGGACAGACTCTGGTTCTGACCAGCTGTTCTAATTATTATGGCCTAAATCAAAAGAACCAGACAACTCATTTGACAAGGAGGTTTCAGACTTGCATTTTAAGGCAAAGTGAGTCACCATGATTCAGCCTGGATTGTAGTTTGCCCTAAGGTTAGAGTTTCATCTGTTTACTAATTGCTTGGAAAATGTCACGCAGACAGGTAGAAGGTTCTTGGATTAAGACACCTGTGAGCAAGGATAGCTGCCTTCTAGGACAAGATTTGTAAGGAACAAAGTGTTTGTGCTGTGTGAACTGAAGGTGTATCAAGGGGCAGGGCACTGAAGCCACTGAAGAAAAGCAGAGAATATCCCTGGAAGGAGGAGAAATACACAACTAAGGATGCAGCAGGAACAAGTAGAGCAAGGAAGGAAGAACTGTGGAGCAGACTGGGTGGTGAAAGGAACTGAGCTATATTGGAAAAGACAGACCCAAAATAACAGCATGTAGAAGCGTGACCAAGATGCTGGCTATCCAAGAGGTTCAGGAAAGTGATTTGTCCTTCTTTCCCTCTTCCTCCTCTTTAATTTAGCAAAGGCTGTCTACAGAAGGAGTTAACATAACAACCAATTAATATGTATAGCAAGTGTTCAGATAAGGGATGGAGTGACTGAAACAGACTTGCAAAAAGCTCTGTATATGCTATGATGTATTATATATTATACATACATTTGATTCTTAAGCTAAGACCATCTATATTAGAAATATAAGCAAATGTTATTTACTTTATTTTGACTTTAACAATATAAATCAATTCAGTAGGCAGAACACTGTGTGTGGGTCTGATTAGTCCTTTCCCATTCCACCTGCTGATACATTCCATGAGGAAACTCTTTTGAAACAGGTAAATAAGGTTTCATCCAATATCATGGTTGCAGGAAGGAGTTTAGGAAAACAGATTTTCCCATCTCCTCCTTTCCTCAGCATCATCCAAAAATCTACACAAGAGATAGGCTAGTGTAGCACTTTCCAAAGGCAGGATGGAAGGTGATGGCAGCTGTAGCAACCGCATGAAAGGTGGCACAGTAATGTGTCACTGTGCCATGGCAACAATGGCAATGGAGCAACAACACAGTGCACTGATGATGGAGGAAAGGAAGGGGCAACAGTAGTATATACTGTTACGGTCTAGCAGTAGATTAACATTTTGGAGTAAGGACAAATTTGTTAACTCTGTTCTTAAATGTTTATTTTTCATGGTTTTCAAAATATTGGGAAAGAGAATTCCAGTAAGTCTGCAAACTCCATTGACAACCCATTGAGAATTACTGAATTCTCATCAAACATCAAATGTAAAGAGATCCTCTTACAATACCACACAGAGACTGAAAGAACAGAAGAACTAGTAATCTCCATTGACAACACATACTATAGACAAATCCCTGTTGCTGCCAGCAAGCTCATCAAATAATGGACTCAATACTGAGAGAAAAAAAGAGACCAAGACTTTTCCCTTATGTGAAATGAAACCCTGGATCAATTAGGGAGGAACATTATCTGCATATGTTAATATAATAATTTAGTCTTTCCATGATGATTTTGATAACATGGGAACAAAGAGGAGGGTAGAACAGGTATCTGCAGCAAGCTAGCTTAGCTTGTTTAGCGTCTTGATTCCCTTTATATGATCTGTATATTTAGGGGGGTTGTCATTTGATCATATACTAAGAACACCTTTAAGATCTTTGAGCCTATATCTTCTTCCTTCTAATTCTGCATATTCTCCTCCTCCTTGCTTATTAGATAAATTATTTGTAGAGTTTTGCTTCTCTGAACAAATAATAAACATGAAACTAGGAATTTTTACTGTATAAATAGAACTGAAAATCTGCTTAATTTTGTAACCAAGCATGTTCCCCTGTCTATGTTGTACAAAATGATAGGTTATTTCCTAAATATTACTATTAAAATACAGTAGCAGTTTTGAGGGAGGGGGAATGTTGTATCTAATAATCTCTTATTCAAAACAGTTTTAAGAAATATTGGGAAACAAAAGAAATGTTTCAGGACTAGTTTGATATTTAGCCTCTTTGGCATTTATCATTTATTGCTTTGAATTTAGTAAATAACCATGATTCATAACCTTAAATAAACATCAAAAGCACACAAATGACTGATTTGAAATAAAATTATTATAATTTCCAGTACGTTTCTTCAGTGAGAGTATAGAAAATAAACAAATAAATAAATGTTTTATGCATCATACCTTTGCAGTCAGGCTGAAAAAACCTTTTGGTTCAATCATTTTCTCTAAAACATGGCATTTTATTCCAGCAGTACTGTCATACTCATAAACAACACCATATTCCAGATGAACATTATCAACAGTCAGGCAGACATGGTCCTTTCGTCCATCAATTATTGCCATAGTATTAAATTTATCAATTGCTTCTAAAGACAAAAATTTAAATCAATTTATTTTGCTTCTATGTCTTAATTAAACTAATTAATGTAATAAGAAACAACTAATTTTCATGGTTAAATAAAATAATTTAAAAAATTAAACTAAACTTTTAAGTGAATGAGTAAATTAGTTGCCAAGGTAACAGTGTATACAGACTATCTCTGAAACATGTATTATTGATTGCACAGTGATTTAAGAAATTATTACCAAACAAAAATGTAGACCCTCCTTGTGATGGTCTAATGGCTGGCTAGTGCTAAATAGTTTTTAAGTTTCCCAATGAGTTCAAAAGCCATGAATATGTAAGGTATGACCGCCTTTCTTCATTCTTTACTTTACTAGCTAATAATTAATGTAATTGATGAAAACAATGTCTGAAGAAGTCATGCATTTCTCCATAGTTTGCATCCCACCTTTGCTGGCATGTATCTCACTTCAAGAGAGATGTGCAATTTTGCTCTGGCATGTCGTATTTGCTTTTCCTGCTTTAATAAATGGCTAAACTTTTATTTTGGTTAATAATAAGAGACAAATAACCCCACCTTCAACTTTATAATCAAATGCATCTCCTCCATCATCACCCAATGGTTTAGTATTCGCTTTCTGAAAATCCTCCTGTGCACTGTCAGTGTTGTTATATATCCACTGAATAGAATCTTGCTGTAGGAGGAGGATAATGATAATGATAATAAAATATCTTTAACAACTTCAAACCATCAAACAATATCTGCCTATCCCAGGTCCTTGGGATAGGTGGATAAAAATGCCAAATCCAGTCTAAACATCTGTCTGACTGTGTGACCAATCGTAATAACAACAACAGCAACAACAAAAGGTTTACAAGTCTCATTAAAATCGTAATGCATATAAGTTTTGAAAAAGGAAAAAAGTGGGGAGTTTTGCACTAAATCAAAATGAAACATATTTTTTCCAAAAGTATTTACATGGGGGAAGGGAGGACTGCTGCTAGAAACAGACCAGGTTTTTGTTGTTGTTGAAGTCCATGGTACATTTTTATTGATCATATGAAGCTATATCTGAGAGAATGGTTGAAAAAAGATCTAAAAGGCATTTTAATTTATTTAATAGGGGAAAAATCAAATACTGATTTACAAAATTATTCCCCCCCCCAAATTCTATCTGACCTGTAAAAATAGCTTGTATTCTGACAGATTTTAAAATATAGAATCTAAAGGGAAATGTGGAGGATAAAATAAAGCTGAAGCAACAATATCAAGGATTACTGTTTTTTATACATGCAGCATTGAAATAGGTCCCCTTTCAATATAATTGAATTATATTTATGAAGAACTCGAAATAATTTTTACTCAACAGATTAATATAGAAGGGTTATAGACCCACGCACAGTCACATATAATGATGCATCATTGTATTTTCTCTTGTTTTTAACCTTCATTTCACAACAACCAAAAATATCAACACAAATTGTGTGATGTTAATAAAAAAGAGGCTAATCCAGCAGTGTGCTATAAGAATATCTCAGTGTTGGCCATTTTTTAATAGTGAGAACCAAACAGCAGGATTTATACATCAGGGGAAGCCATGACTGTTCCCATAAAGTTTTATTCAGTTCTTTGCTCATACAAGAGAATGAAGCCTTCTGTAGTCCATGCAGAAGCCCACAGTTGATCAGAGAGAGCTTTGAGTTATTCTGAACAATGTACAGCTATTCAGAGCACAAAAGGTTTTGTTTTAGCAGGATATTCAAGTCCTTCAATGCAAGTTTTCCATCTAATTTTTGTCTCTGATATTCTCAGGAAAGGTTGTCAAACAACCTTAATGCTAGGTAAGATGCCTCTATATGTTTTTCCTTTCTCTTTCATTTCCACCCTGCATGTATTACAACAGCAACTGCATTATTTTCACTTGCAGATTGTACCTGAGTAATGGAAAAGAGTACAATATTCAAGGATGGTATCCCTACATTTAATTTTTTTGTTTAAAGATGTGTACTCTTTTACAGAACATAGCTCTAATTAGATCAGATAGCAGCCTTTATCAGATAGCAGGACAAGTTAAAAAGGTTGATATGGTGGGTGCTTCCTTGTCAGCGAAGGCTACCCCTTTTCAACATGCATCACGTGCAGGTAAAAAATCCATTCCATCCATTCATGGTGGAATGTTATATTAATTATTTTTTTTCCATGAACTGCCAAAGATAGATAATAGATATGGGCCACTGAAATAAAAACAAGGACATATATAATGAACAAAATAATTAGCATTACATGCATTGGACGTCTGTATTTCCTACAGGCTGTCACATGGGCAATAACACTTGCATGTGTTTCTTTGCTGACATTAATTCCATTCACTTTGATTATGCACTGTCCAGGATGAAGTCCAGCAGCAGCTGACACAGTTCCTTTAAAATAGTTAAGAAATTAAGTTAGAAATCTACTTAGAAATGGAGAAAAGCCACACTGCAACTGATTTGTGTCATTCCTTTGCAATTCCAAATTATATTAAATTGAACCAACGCTACATTTGTAGTGTTGAATTTAATTTGAATCAACACTGATTCAAATTAAAGAAACACATTAATTTGAATCAGTGAACACAGTGTAAGAAAAAATTTATTCAGTTCTTCCTAAGTGGCCACCCCTCTAAAATTCAGGTCATATTTAGTTTTTCCTAGTTGGCAACCTCTAAAACTCAGGATGCAAACATTGCATTTTGTTAGTTTACTCCCTTAGACCAATAAAACAAAGCATAATAATATTTTAAGGCTTTATTCTATAAAAATTAATACAATTAATTATTGGCTGCAAACAATACAGCTGAATACGGTTCAACCAGAATAAATGCACTGAAGATGAATTTATAGTATTGGATCCCATGCAGTCTGAAAGCAGTTATTTATAAAATCCCAAATCCTATGCCACACTAAATTACCATATCAGAACCTTATTACTTTGTCATGCTAAATTAAACAGCTTGCCCCTGCATATAAGAACCACCTCCTCCTTATTGAATTTTTGAAAAGAGGTAAAAACTTAGCTCTAGAACAGACCACTGGGGGATATTAGGCTTTCTTATCTACCTGGGCTGATTTGTGCTATTTGAAAATATTTTAATTGTCACTGTTTTGATATCAATACATGTCAAAATGCCAATAGATCTCAGACTATTTTCAACAACAAAAAAACAGTATTTTGGACTTACTGGACCCCACTGTGTTTGTATAGAAAATGAGTAAGTAAATCATCCAGCCTTTGAAGTTGCAATGAAAATAATACTTATTCAAGTAGGTGTTTTTGTGATGTACTGGGAAAAAGTCATTACCTATATTAATCTGAGTTTAAGACAGATTTTAATATTTTTCACATTAAATATTTGTCTGAACCTACTATATGGAAATTGACGGCTGAAGAATGGAAGTGGATTCTCCAAGCCCTTCTTATTGTTAAGAGACCTTGCCAAAAAGGAAAGATAAATTTATGTCCCTAATTATGCAATGAACTGAAGACCTAATGTACTTGTGACTTAGAAATAAGTTCCTTACAGATTTAGACTATATATGGGCAAATTACAATGAAATATGGTAGTCCTTTATTGATCATATATTTCTGGTCATATAATGAAATATGTTTATGCTTTACTGCCTAATTTTTTGCATAAAACCTTCTATAAATGTTTGTGTAAAATATATTTTGTGGGTGTGTACACACACCAGTGGTATCTATATTCATTGTCTTTTTCTATTTTATTTTTCTGTTTAATCAAACAAAGGCAATAAAAATATCACTCTTATTTTGTTCATTAATGATGGTTAAAAATATCTTAATTTTCCTGTTTCTTCTTCTATATCTATATGTATATCTATATCTGTATCAAGTTGAAATGTCACCTGGATGCTTGAAATAAAAGGGAAACTACTTAATGTACAGCACTGCATATTCCATGTGACTTCAACATGATGTTCATCTAAAAACAAATATCCCCTGTCTTTTCATACCCAAAGTATATGTCAAGATATGACAGTTCCCTGTCATGGAAACCTATTACTTAAATACTCGTTAACTGGCTGCACATAACAATAGAATTTCTTTTCATCACCACTAACTCTCCATAAGTAAATTCAGAACCATGCATCAAGTTTTGAATATTCTTCAAGCATCAGTCTCAAGATTCTGTGTGCTTGTGTGTGCATTTATTACACTTGGTCAAATATGCATAAATGCAGGCCAATTCATACCTCTTCCAACAGCGTGAACAACAGAAGGGCCAAAACCTCGTATTTGGAATCCAAGGCCATCCACAGAGTCAGGAATTTTAACTGTCCTTTAAGCAAGATAAACCTCAAAATGAAGCATCTAATACCAACATTTCTATTTATGTGTCAAATTTTACATAAGACTCAAATAACATATTGTACTCAATTTCTAAAAATAAAGTTTACATTCAGTGGAAAAATAAATACTGCCCTTAACATCAACTAGCTCAGTGAGTTTTGCTCCCAGAAGCCTGGACACCAGATCATAGCTTTAAACATGTTAATTATTACTCGATAGCCAACATGAATACAGGTAGACCTCACTTAACAACTACCCTGTTTAGTGTCTGTTCAAAGTTAGGACGTTGCTTAAAAAGTAACTTTATGACCAGTCCTCACATTTACAGCCATCCCAGCATCCCACAATCACATGATCGCCATTTGTGTGCTTTACAATCACCTTCCGACAAGCAGTCAGTGGAAAAGCTAGTGGTAAAATTGCAAGTCACACTCACGTGATGTCTTACTTAATGACCCGTGGTGATTCATTTAACAACCAAATGGGAAGTGACACTGTAAGTCTGTCGTGGTCATGTTATGTTTCACTCAGCAACTGCATCACTTAGCAACGGAGTTGCTGGTCCCAATTGTCACTAAGCAAGGACTACCTGTATTCAATCTGAATAGAAAACTGGCATATCAAGCAAAAAGATAAACGTTGCTGCTATATAATATGCTAATTAAGATTAACAGAAAGATAAATGTAATAATTTCTTGATATTTTGGTATTATTCAGTGATTAGTGGTAAAAAGCACTGGATTGTGCATCCATAACAGCCATAAGCCAGCCAGCCATGCCAGCCACCCTTCAGATGTGCTGGACTTTACCACATTGACTAGAAAGAATGATAACTGAAATCTACATCTAGAGAGCACCAAATTGCAGACGGCAATTTTATACAAAGAGCTTAAATTCAAATTCAGACATTAGCTTTTTCATCCAGTAAATTTATTCAGAACTACAGGGGAGGATGAAAAAGCCATTCTGTCCGGTTTATTTATTTGGCACATGGGAAAGCATCTTCTGCACTACTCCCAGGCTATGAAATGCATTCTTTGGAATTGTGTTTAGACCCCACTCAGTGAACAGCTAAGATGTATTTCTTTTGTTGAGATTTTAGTTACTGACATTTCTGTATTAGTTCTAACTTACATATAGTAAACATTCAAAAATATATCTTGCATTTTACTTATGGTTAATCACCTTGAATGCACAAAATTGAGTGGAAAGGCAGGATATAAACTGAATTCATCATAATCAAAATATATAAAATTTAGCAAAACTATTTCCAACATAATGACATCTATGTATATGCTTTTGCAGTGTATTTTGATTACTATTTTTAATAATTTCCAAAACCAAAGAAACAACTTACTCCCTTGGCTTTGTGCTCACAAGGACCCTGAGGGGCTTTCTGCTGTTTAAACATGCTTTCAGAAAGCTATCCACTTCAGTGAAGGGCCTTAGAAAAACTAGGTCACCATTAATGGTAAAGATCTTTTTCCCAATTTCCAGACCTGCCACCTAGGTAAGAAAGAAAAATACATATATAATCCATTAGCATCACAATATCAGTGATCCATTATTAATATCTACATATACAGAGGAAGAGCTTTAAACATTTCCCATATAGCTATGTTCATTTTTCTTGAGATCAGAAAACATCTTTATGAAAACAACTAATCCTGGAAGTTCAGTATTATTGGAACCACCACCAATCTCCTGTATTTGTTATTTCGTTATTTCTAATATTTTTTCCAAGCTTGACAGCTTAAAGTTTAAATTAATGGTGGTCTAAACAGATTCGCTTATCTATTTACCAAAACCGCTTCATTCAAGAGTTACGTATGAAAACGCATGAGTAAGTTTGTAGATACAGATTTTTAAAAGGTACAAAAATCAAATGGTACCTTCAAAACTCTTTTGACTAAAATATTTGATTTGCCCCATCCCAAAAATCTTACATATCCAGATTCAACTGACTTTTGAGCAAAGTGGACTTACTCAGGAATATTCCCCAGTTTATTTAAACACTCAACATTTTATCACTGAAATTTAATTTCTTTTTCAACATTAAACTCTTGTTTCACAAAAATACAGTTGAATTCTAGATCTAATTTTAAACATATATTCCTATACCTAATTGCATATACAGAATGTATGTATACTGATATATTTTATTTATATATTTATGTATTTATTTATTGGATTCACATGGCCCCCCATATTATAAAAAATAACTCTGCGCAGCTAACAACAATTAAATAACAAAAGACAAAAATATTACAAAACCTTTCAAACCAACAAGCATTATAATAATCCCATCACAGAACCACAAATGCTAGATTCACCTCCCCTTCTGACCCAGCACCTAAGGGAAAAGCCAGATCTTAACTGCCTTCTGGAAAGCAAGGAGTGTAGGGACTGTTTGGATGTTATAAGTCCAAAGTTGAGAAGACAGAGTAAGCATCACCTTCTTCTACATCTGAGGGAGAACAATTCCTCAGAGCTGACTCGCTGAAGGCACCATAGAACAGTTAAAAGTTGAACACATTACTGAGCCAAAAAAAATCCCTAGCAATGCAGAGAAAAAGTTATGTGGAATTATTTGTTGCTTTAAATCTCACCCATAAATTACATCTTTTAGAACAGAATATTGTGTGAAAACTGTAGTCAGGAGAAACCAGGAATATGAGGTCAAAGAAATACAAGTCTGGAAACAAGAGGCTGTTTATTACATGGGGGAAAGCCTTGGAGATGCTATTAAATAGCTGGAGTTCTGGCCTTGCCTAATTAGAAGAGCTGACATCCTCTCCTCTCAAGAAGACAGTCAATCTCCACTGTTCAGCCCTCCTTAGCTAACAATGTATTTTAGGGTTTGACACTCTCCAAAATTCAAGATCCAATTCCTATAATCTTAATTTATAGCCACTTGTCCAGGGTCTGACATACTTGCAGATGGCTGACAACTTGCTGACAAGCAGATTCTGCCAGGTTTTTGTCTTCAGCCTCAGAATTAGAGTCTGTTCCCATAGCACAACATTAAAGGCTTTAGTTGTGGATTCACATGTGAAACAAATTAGCTTGAAAATTATAAGAAATAACAAGCTACAAACACTGAAACAATGTTCCCAATTAGAATATTCAAGATGAAATGACCCATGTATAGTACAATGTCTGATTTGAATAAATAATGCAATTTTAAACACTCCTTTAAGCATTGAGCAAGATCAATCTATGCAGTTTCTATGGAGCATATGTGAGATTTTTTTTTCAGTGCAACTGTAATACATGTTGGAAATTAAAACTACATATTGTGTGGATTTCTGTTCCCATGCAGTACAGAATCCCAGTCTTCTTCTAAGCAGATTTTTAAGATCCACAACATGAGTAATACATTTTATTTATCTTGGCAATGCAGGATCTTTGGAATAGTATGCCAAGTGGTTAACAATTTTTCCTGATATGCCTCCACAGAGAGTTCAGAAATGTAAACTACTTAATGGAATTGCTTAGCTATAAGACAAAACAAGATTAAACTTTTTTTCCTTTTGCAATATTTTCTCTGTTCCTTGATTCTGAACCAAAGAGGTACACTGTATACTAGTGATATCCTCTGTCCTATCCCAATGAGAAAAACATTTTTTCATCTGCAGGCACATGGAAGTCTGAAAATATGGAACACCTGAAATAAATAAATATCTGTCTGTTTTGTTTTTAACATTTTTTCATATATTTTAAAGAGAGATGGATTGCTTTGGTTCAGGGAAGAGTTCTACTGCTATATTATTAAAATAGACTTTATGGAAACCCTTGTAGTAGTGGGTTTTTTTATTATTATTATTACCTTTATAGATTTTCTTTGGAATTTTTCTTCTTGTTATTTTCTAGTTTTCGATATGTTTTTCACTAGGGGGAACACGGTGGTACAGTGGCTTAACAACGCTGAAAGTTGCCGGCCAGAAACGGTCAACACTTCAGCAGTTCAAGCCCAGGTAGCGAGGAAGCCGTGCTTGCCCGAAAAAGGCATGAAGCAACGGAAACCCCACCTCCGGCGCTCACCAGCTGGGCTCTGCTCTAGGAAGGAGGCACTTGCAAACCACTTCCGAAA